TTAAATCTTTCCCAACATTGGTAAAAAGTTTTTTTTTCTTTTACAGCAAAATTCATTATCTGGCGTCTTAATGCATTAGTATGATGCACAGGAAAAAACTTTTTAAAGAACTCAGTTTGTAAAGCTTGTCAATTCGTGATAGAATTTGCTCTTAAAGAGTTAAGTCATAGTTTAGCTTTATCTTTTAACAAGAAAGGAAAAAGTTTTAATTTAATCATTTTAAAATTATCTTGCAAAGTTCCACAGTCTTCTTCAAATTCTTTCATATGAACATAGGAATTTTCAGTTTCTAAACCATGGAACTGTGGTAGTAACTGTATAGTTTATGGCTTAATATTAATATTTGGAGCGTCTGTTGGAAAAGCAACACATGATAGGACATTAGTTCTTGTAGGATGTAGATATTCTTTTAATGGTCGAACATTTTAAACTACTTCATGTTCTCTTTCTTCTTATTGTCTAGGTACGTTTTGTGCCATACTTAAGTTGAATGATTCTTGTGTAGATGTAGAAGAAGATGATGAAGGAGTGGATTGATTTACAGAACCTACAGATGAATGAACAGACATAGACTAAAAACAAACAAACAAACTATAAACATATAAAACAAGTATACACAGCTATCTTTTTTATTTTTTATTTTATTATTATATTTTAAAATTACTATAACTCCCCGGCAACGGCACAAAAAACTTGATTCACACTTTTTAGTGGTTTGAATTATATTATATTGTACACCCAAGTATAAATGGTCAAATTGTAGTTTTCTCGGTTTTAAGTCCAAGTATCAATCCCACGAAGAGTTTAGTAATTTAGACTATAAAATAAAATAAAAAAAATTAAAAGTATTGTTTGAAACAGAATATTGTTTTATAGCTTGTGATGTGAGCTTAACTTGATAGCTAGTTTAACTTAAATAAAATGCATAAGTAAACAAGTAAGTTGCGTAAACATATAAAGTGCGTAAGCAAATGCGTTAGCAACAAGAATATAAAAGATATCCTTCAGTTTAAGGGTCCCATGTGCATTATATTGGTTAGATACTAGAAATGCTATCTCACAACAATTAACTCTCATGTTACTGGAAAGTCAACTGGCAGGTCTGATGTATATAAACCATAACATAACTGCTTCTTAGGCTACACTGGTGGTAATATATTATAACACAGCTGCTTCTTAAGCTACACTGGTTATATCTATGTCAACTGATTAACCCAAACAAACCAGAATGACAAGTCATTCATGAGAAACACTTGAGTTATTCATTTGATCTCATGATTGCAAGTGCATATATATAAACTATAACACAACCGCTTTTTAAGCTACACTGGTGGTAATATATTATAACATAGCTGCTTCTTAGGCTACACTAGGTATAGATGTGCCAGTTAAACATCCTCAACGTTCTGGTGGAAACAAAGTCATACCGATAGGAACATCGTGGTTGTTAGACTGTCATAATAGTTATATATAATAATAATCAACCCTAATAACCTAGAAGGACAAGTCATTCATGAGGATCATTTAGGTTTGTACCACACATCAGTTAACTTCCTTAGCATTTTGGTGGAGGACAAGTCATACCGGTAGAAATGTTGTGGTTGTTTAACCGGCGGGTCTTATGATATACTGATGATATAATCCAAGGCACAGCACCGGAATTATACACATCACTATATCATGCATTAATCATATAATACATATATAAATAAACGTATAAATAAAACATCAGCATTTGCATAATCTAGCCAGTAATATTCATATGTTTCCCTCACACTAGAGGGTATAAACGACTACTCACGCTCCATTGCTACAGACAAGGAAGAAGTGTGGGTAGTATTCATTACAATTAAAATAAAACTTCTTTCACAAGCAACAATTGAAACACAACCACCCTTAATGTCATTCAAGACAAAAAAAAGTGGTGGCAGTTCAACTATTCGAATAGAAAGATACTACAGAAATGTAGAAATACAGAGTAACAACAAACCGGCTTTCAAAAGCTTTTTCTTTCTTTCTTTCTTTTCTCTCTTTGATGGCCGGCTAGCTTTCTTTGTAGGAAGGACGTTTTCTCTTGAAATGGTATTTTGAAGGCTTGGAGTACTTGGAGTCGAATCTTTTTAAGTATGGAGTGAAGACCCCTATTTATAGGGGAGGGTAAAGTTTCGGCCAAGGAAGGAGTCCTAACCCCTATCTAACCCTTTAGGAAGGTTCATCCTTGCAGTAGGGCTAGGTGTTGCGTTCTTAGGCTTCCACTTGTCACGTTCTGGAGCTTCCATGTGTCGGGGGTCCTAACCCCTACCTTAACCTTCATAAAGGTTAAGCCTTGCAGTGGTGCAAGCTATCTTCTTTTGGAGCTGCCACTTGTTGACTCCTGATTCGTCCATGATTGTTTATTACACCTTAGTCCTTCATAGTTTCAACTCTTACAAAATTGTCTTGTATTTCCCATTATTTTTGCATTTGACACTGAAATTTACACATAAATTATTAAAAACTTTAATTTGCACACAAACTATAATTCATAATGTTTAGCGATTTTATCTTACAAAATTGATCACTTAATTATTTTATTTACACACTAATTAGANAGACTGTCATAATAGTTATATATAATAATAATCAACCCTAATAACCTAGAAGGACAAGTCATTCATGAGGATCATTTAGGTTTGTACCACACATCAGTTAACTTCCTTAGCATTTTGGTGGAGGACAAGTCATACCGGTAGAAATGTTGTGGTTGTTTAACCGGCGGGTCTTATGATATACTGATGATATAATCCAAGGCACAGCACCGGAATTATACACATCACTATATCATGCATTAATCATATAATACATATATAAATAAACGTATAAATAAAACATCAGCATTTGCATAATCTAGCCAGTAATATTCATATGTTTCCCTCACACTAGAGGGTATAAACGACTACTCACGCTCCATTGCTACAGACAAGGAAGAAGTGTGGGTAGTATTCATTACAATTAAAATAAAACTTCTTTCACAAGCAACAATTGAAACACAACCACCCTTAATGTCATTCAAGACAAAAAAAAGTGGTGGCAGTTCAACTATTCGAATAGAAAGATACTACAGAAATGTAGAAATACAGAGTAACAACAAACCGGCTTTCAAAAGCTTTTTCTTTCTTTCTTTCTTTTCTCTCTTTGATGGCCGGCTAGCTTTCTTTGTAGGAAGGACGTTTTCTCTTGAAATGGTATTTTGAAGGCTTGGAGTACTTGGAGTCGAATCTTTTTAAGTATGGAGTGAAGACCCCTATTTATAGGGGAGGGTAAAGTTTCGGCCAAGGAAGGAGTCCTAACCCCTATCTAACCCTTTAGGAAGGTTCATCCTTGCAGTAGGGCTAGGTGTTGCGTTCTTAGGCTTCCACTTGTCACGTTCTGGAGCTTCCATGTGTCGGGGGTCCTAACCCCTACCTTAACCTTCATAAAGGTTAAGCCTTGCAGTGGTGCAAGCTATCTTCTTTTGGAGCTGCCACTTGTTGACTCCTGATTCGTCCATGATTGTTTATTACACCTTAGTCCTTCATAGTTTCAACTCTTACAAAATTGTCTTGTATTTCCCATTATTTTTGCATTTGACACTGAAATTTACACATAAATTATTAAAAACTTTAATTTGCACACAAACTATAATTCATAATGTTTAGCGATTTTATCTTACAAAATTGATCACTTAATTATTTTATTTACACACTAATTAGAGTTAATCAGCAACCTCAAGGGCTTTGTCTAAGGCAAGACATGTGCAGCCAATTTGTATGTAGTTTGTATAAATACCTTTGTAATACAGAAATGCAATACACAATTTTTCCTCACTAAATTTTTACAATGATGAAATAAACTTTTGAAAAACAACAATAATTGTATGTATGAAATGAATTAGAGCAAGCTTCTCACACCAAATGAAGATAAATTGAATAAAAGTTCTCTGAGAATATGTCAATCTATAGCAGCACCTAAATTAGGGACTAAGGCAGTCAAGAAAGAGTAGAATATCAATAGATGGTTCCTAAGAATCAGGCTAATTGTTCCGTCCCTTATCCATCATTAAGTGCTTGTGCTGATCTTGATTCTGCCCTCTATGCCAAAATAAAATGAGCTCTCAATCATCGTTCTTCAGCTACTCAAGTGTTGCTATAATTCCATCATTAAGGACTCTCAGTTTTGCCATGTTATTGCTGCTAAATTCATCGGATGTAACATTGAGATTAATAGTTTTGATTATTGAATAAACGAATCATATAATTTAGCAGGCGCCATTTCTTTGTGAAAACTATATTGCACTAACGAGCTATCACCTACCCTATGTTTAATTGCCAAATTATGCACCAATTATTGATTACTCATAGAAGTTGTTGGAATTTTGTTGAAGAAAAAACATCGTTTCTATCATATTTGATCTATCTCCCATATAATGAATGATGTGGTATAATTTTTATGCGCCAATCTCTTTGACGCAAACTATCAACCTCTCCTATTGGGAGTTGAGAAAGCCAACAAAATGTAAAGTCAGGAAGTCTGTGTTTTCACTTCCCGTACGTTTGGTATTATTGAGAACTTAAAACACTTCCAAGCTTTTTATTCTATTCTATTAATTTCTGAACTTGGACAGACAAGTATGTTGCTTATACCTAAATCCAATCCAGCTTTGGGCAGCTTGAACTTTCGTAACTCTAAACCTTAGGTAACTTGGTGGTTCTATGTATACATAGGTACATTTGGATTACACTCCTTTAGATTAGACCACCCACTTGTTTGCCCACCCTAAGTCTCTATCCAAATGTATTCTACATTTGTAATGGTCATATTTTCTGGCTGTTGGTATCACAGATATATATGCTTTCACTAATAAGACAGCTAAGGACATTTGCTTCTGATAATGTGATTAATTATTGTTTTAAAAGGTCAATAATACTTGCTCGTGTTATGCATATGATCTACAAGGGCATTTAAATGAATATACATGCAAAATGAACTACTTAGCAGTAATCATCTCTGTAAATGAAGTACTTGGCAGTAATTATCCTCTGTAACCTCTTTTCCCACAGAAGATACTGTTCATTCTTAGTTCCAGAATTTATATTTTTATTTTTACCCACTACAAAATGACAATCAAAATTATTGATGATGGAATTGCAGAATCTCTGTCGAATGAGCTAGTGCCTGGGCTTCATCCCCTTAGGTCCAAGGATCTACCCTTTACTGGAACTGGAGAATTAGAGTTCCTAGAAGATTAAGAAATATAAGATCTTCTGCAGCCGTTGTATGGAACACCGTGGACGTCCTTGAGCATTCATCGCTATTGCAGCTGCAGCAACAATACCAAATTCCAATCTTCTCAATAGGCCCTCTGCATAAAATAGCACCAGGTTCAACCAATAGCTTACTAAAGGAGGACACCAGTTGCATTGCATGGATTGACAAGCAAGCTCCTAACTCAGTTATATATGTCAGCATGGGAAGCTTAGCAATGGTGGATAAGAAAGAGCTAACTGAGACAGCTTGGGGACTGGCCAACAGTGATCAAACATTCTTGTGGGTCATGCGGGGAGGCTTGGTTGATGGCCCAGATCAGTGTGTTGATCTCCTTACCAAAGATTTTAAAGAAAGAATAGGAGAAAGAGGTCACATAGTAAAATAGGCACCTCAGTTCTGAGATGGGCATGCGTCGGTTCTGGTGCTTCGGTAGAAGAGTATTGATAATTAAAAAGTAGGAGTGTTTAGACATATGTAGGAAAGTTCAATTGGCCAGCATTTGATTTCATCAATTCATCAATCACCAGAATGTAGGTCTTAATGCAGTGAAAAAATAGGCAAATGACCAGGGGAAAAATTCAGGTCTTAGACCAGAAAGTGATGAATTAATTTCAGAAGAATGTAGTGCATTGTCCAAATAAAACAACTCGACCATTATCACCCAAAATTTTGAGTCATCTGGATAGGAAAGTAGCTACAGCAATCATGATCATGAACAAATCTATGAGCAGAAAAAGTAAATCATTAGCTGGCTTTATCAAACTATTACCCAAACTAAAAACGTCCAAATTTGCTTTATGCAAAGAAAACAAACAATGAATGTTTATGTACACAATCAAGTTTTCAAAAAAATTTGTGTACCTTATTCCCTTACATAATTTCGTGGCACATCTCGAATTTTTCTCAGCATTTTATAGATTTGGGTGGAGTCAATAAATCATGTCAGCTAAAGCATTATGAAGAAGTAGCAAAATACATAAATGATAAATCTACCAACCAAGACAGTAGATAGACCAAAATAATTAAACAGAAATTATTAACATATCAAAATTCAGGAGAAGGGAATGCCAAGAGATCCAATGGGTCCAAGACCAATGGATCAAAAAGGTCCATCAGTGAACCCCTGAGGGATGGATCGAAAAAGTCGCGTCTTCAACCCACGAAATAGCTTGCCTCTTATCTATTCAATGGACCTCTTTGTTGCTGTTAGATTTTCCTTAATATGCTGTATGATATGTGTCATAAAACCCCTCGAGGTTTATTGAAAACAAAAGTCCCCTAGAAAACATCAAAAATTATAGAAAAGCGCTCCATCTTTTAGATCAAATTAGTAATTACAATCAATTCAGGACCTTTAGTTGCCCCTAGTTGAATTTTTTCTCATTTCAAATTTATCCCCTTCGATTTCTCTTCGGGTGGGGGTTATTCCCACCCTATAAATTTTCATTCCCACTCCATTTAATTTTTTATTATAAAACTAATAAGTCAACCCTTTATATACTCATCCCATTAGTAACTAAGTTTACCCCATGATACATACACTTCATTTAATAAGTAAACCCCCTTATATATTTTGTCATAATTAGAGTTTCATTTTCTATCTTATCTCATGTACTCACAAAAATATTTTTTCTATATGAATTTTTTCAGTGAAATACATATTAGTATTACTTTTCAGTTTAATTATATGTTTGATTTCAAGTTTGTTATATAAATTTTCATTATTTTCGATATTTTTTAATATTTCTATCAATTTTAATAATTTTTTATTTAGAATTTATATTTGTGTATATATATGTATACTTGTAGGTTATTTTTTCTTTTTTATTTTTTTTAGGTTTTTCATCTATGCTGCTTATTATTTATTTATTTTTTTGTTTGATTTCGTATCGGTGCTTCATACTTCTTTTTTTTTTCATGTTCGGTTTTGCATCTTGTGGTTTTGCGTCTTGTAATTTTGCTTGTTTCTTTAATCTTTGCTTTTTTTTTTTGGTTGCAGTTTGCTTCTATCTTTCTGATTTTTTCTTGTTTCGTTCTTTTCTTTTTTCTTGTTTCAGCATGTTTGTTTTTTTTACTTGTTTTGTTTTTTGTTGTTTTTTTTCTTCTTGTTTCTTTGTTTTTCTTGTTTTATAAATATATTTATGCATTCAAACTAATTGTCTTTTATTATTATTATTTTTCTTACGATAACTTCTTTTATTAAAGTGGTGTACATAGAATGATTAAATTTAACTATTAATGGGGTGTATGTAGTATGGATGACCTTAGTTACTAATTGGGTGAGTACAGAAGGGATAGGTTTAGTAGTTTGCTAATGAGAAAATTAAATAGGGTGAGAATGGAGATTTATTGGGTGTGACTAGCCCCACTTTTTCTGTTCCAGCTCAATAAGATTAAAATCTAAAAATTTCTTAAATTTGAATGTTAAAAAAAAATGGAGTTAGTAAATCCATTTTCATTACTTAACGTGTAAACAAAGAAAGCATGGATGGAGGTTACGCGTTTATGAGAAAACGGATTCTGTAAATTCGTTTTTTTAATGAAAGTGTAATTACTTTAAATTAAAAATGGCATCTACATCCACGCTTTCAGGAGAATGAGACTGTTGTAACTAATTTGTGTTGACCATGGAAAACGAATTTGACAAGTTCGCTTTTAATAAAACAAATTCAATAACCCTGTTTTTTTGGCAGAAACAATATTTTCCAACTTTACTATTTTGACAGTCCAAAGTCCTTTGGTGTTTTTTAAAAGACTAGCAATGCACACGTGCGTTGCACGTGAAACAAATTTAGTTCATTAATTTGTTATTAAATTTATTTGAAATACAAAGTTGATGAGTAATAAAATTGAATTATTTTTTGTAAAGATAAGTAAATAATTAAAATACAAAGAAAAAAGGCACTTAATCTTTTAACCTCAAAATTTGATAAATTTCAGTCAATAAATGATAAAATACTAAAAAATATGGTACATATAAAAATACTCAAAAACATGATACATAGTACATTAACGCTTTTTTTTGGTGTGGTACCTAACTTTAACTATTTTTTAAAATCATTTTTCTTATAGTTAGAATAACGAATTTTTGGAACATACAATTTTTATTTATAATGCTATAATAGAATATGAGCAATAAAAAATTAAGTTTAATAAATTTGATTACAAAATATTAAGGTTTGAAGCGATTCTAATCGCTCTTTTACAAAATTTAACAAATAGATTTAAGATTGTTTGACTGTAAGTTAATTTTTTATTCTTGTTTATTCATTGATCATGAACATATTTTTATTAAATGAATTTGTTTATGTGAACTCTATAAATTGCAGTTTTAGTGACTTCTAATTCGTAAGTGCTTTTAGAGTGTTAGTATGTTTTTTCTATAGTAATTTTTTTTTTGGATTCTGTTAATTAATTTTTTATCTGGTGCTTGCCATGTTATGTTAGGTATTTTTATATTAACCACATTTGTGATCCCTAAAGCCTTGTCTATGATTTCTTGCATAAAATTTTCTCGTTCACGATTCACGTTTTTATTTACCGTTCTCCTAGACTTGCTAATATAATCTTTAGAAGATTTCTGTGTGAATGATTGAAGAGAAAAAAAAAAAAAGCAAATCATGTCTTAAGTAGTTTTTGCGTAGTTTCTATGTGGCACCTTCTTTGTTAACGGGTCATACTTTTGATTTGCAAGCTGTTTTTTCTCCATTTTCAGGTTTTATTTGGATTTAATTTATTTATTATTGGATTGATTGTTGGTCTCAATAAATGTCTGCATAATTTCTATGTGGCATCTTGTTTATTAACTGGTCATGCTTTTGCCTTTCAAGCTTTTTTTTCTCCATTTCAGGTTTTATTTGGATTTAATTTATTTATTATTGGATTGATTGTTGGTCTCAATAAATGTTGAAATTTACCATCAATTCAAAAATTAAGAAAAATTAGGTCAATACTATAGGAGATTTGAAGAAGTTTTCAAAATATTAGCTATATGAGCAATGAAAATTAGATTCACGAGAGGTTGTAATAAAACAAAGAAACACTAACATAGACCTGCCACACCAATTTAATAACACTAACTATAGAAAAAACATACTAGCACTCTAAAAACAATTTAATAAAGTAACCTCAATTATTAATAAAGTAACCTCAATTATGCCGAATACTCGATCTGCCACACCAATTTAATAAACTAAAATATAAGAATTAATAAACTAACCTCAATTATTATGTCACATACTTGACCTGTCACACCAATCTCTTAAAAAGCTGCTTGATATTAAATTAAGAAAAATTAAGTACCACAGAACATAGGAATTAACGTAAATATAGGAATTAATAAACTAAAACAGAAGAACTGATAAACTAACCTCAATTATGCCGAAAACTCCAACTTCGACTTCATTGAGTTTGTCACAGAAAAGCATGAGACCATAAGACTTCAAATAAATGACTATGGCAAGCCAACTTCTAACTTTAACGTGTATGGAAGAAAAAATTTGTTCGATAACTTTGCTAGAAAGTTTGATCCCAAGTGGTATTAGAATCCTATATATATATATATATATATGAAGGAATTCAAAATATTTTCAAAGTCTAATAAGTAGGAAAGATAAAAAAATATATGCATATGTAGCACCTAAAAATTACCAATATGTGATATGAAGGAATTTAAAATATTTTAGAAGTCTAATAAGTAGGAAAGACAAAAAAATATATGCATATGTATCACCTAAAAATTACAAATATGTGATATTAGAATTCTAGTAGAGTTTGTACAATTGAATGGAAAAGAAAGAATATATTGTCATAGAGATAAAATTTATATATATATATATGAAGGAATTCAAAATATTTTAGAAATCTAATAAGTAGGAAAGACAAAAATATATGTATAAAGTTTATCTATCAAGTCATAGAGATAAAGTTATCCGAGTATATAATATTTTGATAATATTTATCTACCAAGTCATAGAGATAAAGTTTATCTAGCTAATATTTTGGAAGTCAAGTAGGTATGAAAGACAGGAAAATATGTGCGTATAATTGGCTTTATGGTAATAATTAAGGGTGAAATAAGAAATCAAAAAATTTTCACACATGCTGACATTTATTAGTATAGATTACACAAAAATAATAATATATCTACATTTATGGATGACACAACGTGAGGGATAATAAACTTAGAGACCCTTAATATTTTAAAGTTGTAATAATAAACCTTCTTTCTACATCGAATAATATATTGTTAGCAAAATCTTGTTAGAGAATACAAACACTCTCCTTTTTTTTAGGGGGTAAAAGAATTGTCTCAAATCAGTTTTCTAGTTGGAAGAAAACTAATATAGTATCCAAATAAATATCTTCCCCATCTTCTTCTTCAGA